GCCCTCGGATTACGTTAATTCAAGTCAAATCAAGTCAAGGAGAAGATCAAGCTGAAAATTTCGCTCCAAGACTTAGAATATATTGTTTGTGAGAAGAATCAGATGAATAATAGAGATTGTAACCCGCAATATTATTTTGATTCAAGAATTTATTTGAATAATATTTTTCGTGTTTTTTAAATTCAATACACGAAATTTGTTGTTACAATATTAAAACAAAATACATCGATAATAATCACATACATGACAATAGAATAGAACCACAAAAATGCTATGTAGAGCTTCAGTTCACCCAAGAATATGTTTCGATCTTGTTTAAAACACTAACAGAACATGGATAATATCATCATTCATCATATTTCATAGTATTATCTCTCATGAACAGTTGAACACTACACAGTGCAATACACAAATGTTTAGATTAGCAAAGATTTATTTATTTTTTATATTTTTTCGTCTTTAAGTAAAATCAAGTAATCAACTAAGAATTATCTAATCAAGTAATCAGTTTCATCCGAATTACCCTTCCCATGGCCCCTGCAACTTCAACGCGTACCTTCGCTCGGTGTGTACCATGTCCCGAGTTCGAGTCACCCGGGGAGAATTGGGGAACCAGTATTGATCCCCTTTAAAAAAAAGAGTTACACCTCACATCACATCTTCATAAAAATTAACAAAAATTACACGCATACATACGGAATACCAACCCTATTTTTATTGTAGGCATACAAATTAACAAATCGCATGCATAAGCATAAATACCGGCCTAAATGAGAAAAAAAGGTTGCAGCATGAGATGAATTGAGAACTGAGGTGTGAATTTTGTGAATCGGTGCATTCAAATATTCAATCGTCACTCTCAGTTTGATTGTTGTTGCTATTTGGGTTTGGAACTTTGGGGCACGGAATTTGGCAATTTTTGGTGGGGAATATTTTATCTGATTTATACTTAAAAAAAAAAAAAAAAAAAAACGAAGCCTTAGTTATTATTTAAGTGGAAATCAGAGTCAGATTTTATATTTATATAGCAATAATAATTAGGGCTTAGTTCATCGAACTGGCCCGTACATATATCCGGGCCGGGTTCGAGCCCATGTGTTGTGGCCCGATGACCCATTGGGCCGCCATTTGGATACATCTAGACTGATGTGAACACACTACTTAAGACATAAGAATAAATATTACTATAATATAAGAACTACACGTAGATAAGACCACATGGCCTAACAGAATTGGGTAGTTTGGGCACCCGAGCAGTACAAACGGGTAGCTTAGACAATTAGGCAGCCCAACCAGGCAATTTTGGACAACAAGATAAAGTATGATCATCCAAACTCTATACTCTTATATACTTTACAAGCTATACAGTTATTGCTCACCATTCTCCTCATCCATGTATTGACTTGATCGTCGGAGTCTCTACGTCGCGACCACTCCTGGTACTATTTTGCTTTGCAGGTCTATCGAACCTGTCAAGTGTGGATTCAAGGTCGTAGGAGCCAAACGAGGTCGTTTAAACACCACATTGCATGTCCAAGGACTTGCAATAGTAAGTTTTTCACCAGTCCATTGAGGAAACTCAGTATTTTCTATCTGCCATACATTTTGCAATCTGATTTGATGCTTTAAAACTTCAAGTGTGACAACCAAAAGCTTTAAAACTAGGCAGAAAACTTACTCATTTTCACTCTCGTCTCAAATAAGTGCCAACCAATGAGCAGAAGGGAAGAAACAACCAATAAACTGAAAATTTCTGATACACAGAATGCATATATTCATTAATCATAGCAAAGGCGTGAATTTTTGCTAGGTTTTTAGCATTGTACAAAAGCAGGTAAATATGGTCGGAGTTAGCATTGTGCTGAAAGTGACTCTCTGCCGCCAAGTGTCTGTATTATAGCCTCGAGAAGTTTTATCTCTTTATCCCGTTTAGAAATCTCCTCTTGCTTTGCACGCAACTCCTCCATGTGAAGTCCAAATACTTCTGCAGCAGAAATATTGAATGTTAGTCAACTGAGCAATAAATATTTAAAAGCAACCTGCATGCAAAGAAGATACACTATTTTTCCTTTTTCCTTGTCCTTTATTTCTTATAGGTTGTATCTCGGTGGTCTAGAATTGGGAAAAAACTACAAGTCTATCCGAATTTACTTCCGAGCTTCACGCACACAATGTTACAATGCTCAATTTCCTAGAGTCCTAAAATGTTCAGGTAGTCATTAATTCTGTTGCTTTCAAGTTCACCCTTGAATTGGAACCAGAATTAGTAAAATTAAGACTAAGCAGGACTACAAATATGCAGTAGCACAAGCATCATTTACCAAGAAAAAGTGCTATGATGATGCTAGTATGGTAGAAGACATGTCAAGAAGTTTGTGATTGGTGCTTCCTGATCCGTAAGACGAGATGCTATGTTTTTAACAAAGCTAAAAAGAATGAACTTGAGGCCAAACAAAGAGCTGTTGAGTCAATTATGAGAATTAATTGATCTCATCACCACAGTAATGTACGCTCAAAATGCACCTTAAACTCCACAAAAAGTCTGCAGCCACCATTCCACATGCTGTTAGGAAGTCACTAATTCCAGAAATCAAAGCCCCCTGAGTTTTCATTATGGGGTGATTTCTGGCTTCTTTTTTCTTCTTTTATTGGCATTTGGGGAGTTGAGCAACAAAAGCTATATTTCAGACTTCAGAAAGAGCCCACCGAGCAAGTATCTCTAGTTGAATTTACTGCAGATGATATCTTCCCACATTATGGTACAATTCTACGAGGTTTAATCTCCAACAAACCCAAACCCACAGAGGCAACAACAAAATAACATGACACACTTTTTCCACTTCAACACCACAACAATTTGGTTGAGTTGCTGGTGATGTATACAGATGCATATGGATATGGAATGCCAAAAAGTAAATAAAACCAAAAAAAAAAAGAGAGAGAATACATGGATTAAGTTGTTACTAAATACAAATTAACATACTTGTCGTGTTTTCCAATTCTCTTGTAATTTCTAGGGCACGTAGTTCAGCAGCCTTCTGTGATGCTTCAGCCTGACGTTTTTCAGTACGAGCACGAGCAGCAGCCGATATGGCAGCATCAAGTTCTCTTTCTAAGGTCTCCACCCTCTGCTCAAGTATCTACAGTCATTAAAACAGCTTTGTTGATCATTTTCTGTGTCCTTTAAAGTATCAATAGCACAATGTCACATTATAACTAGTTCATAACTGCGAAGGTTTATTAGTTTGAAGCATCACAGATAAGCTAAAGTTACTAAACACACATAAACATAAAAATAAAAATAAAAACTAAAAAAATAAGTCTGATAAAACAATGAGAAACTCACCATAACATTTCAACACCAACCCACATAACTAATTTTACCACAAACAAATCTGTTCAACTCCAGGCCAAGATCAAGCATAATCGAAAATCAAAATCGTTAACTGCCCACAAAATAAAACCTTCAAAACACGCAATAACTCCACAATCAAATACAATCAACTGAAAATAAAACCCAAAACCTACGAATCGGTGAAGAATTCCACATAAACAAGCACTCAGACAGATAGAAAAGAGCGTTCAACTCGAAATCAGAAACAAGCGAGACCTTTATCGTGCGGGCTTGCTCGGAGCTAAGGGAAGCTTTGGCGAAGGTTTCACCGTCGACGTAAACGGCTTTCTTAATCAGCAGCCGCTGCAGAGAGTCGATATTTTGCGAGATCTCGGTAAGATTAGAGATCCCGGCCGTCCATCGCTCGCCGTCTTTCTCCATGTCTTTCAATTTCTCCGCCATTTTAGCTTTTTCTTCTCCTCTGTTTTGGCTGTGGAGGAGCAATCATCGACGATTATCATAGTTATGATATAGTATTAACTAAAGATTTAAGACTGAAATTACACGGCGAATGTTTTATATTATGAGCATTTATTACCTATTTATTTTTTAAAATGTATTTTTATATTTAAATTGTTTCATATATTATTAAATATTTCCTCGTGTACAACATTATTGATTTGATTCTTTGGGACATAAAGTACTACATATATGTTCGAAGAGAAATGTTCACCTATCCATTGTGGGCACATGTTAATATGCCCACCGCGTAGGTGGCATCCACTCATTGGTGATGTTAATACATCACCAATGAGTGGATGCCACCTACGCGGTGGGCATATTAACATGTGCCCACCGTGGGTAGGGGAGCATTTCTTTATGTTCGAATTTATTCAAAATTGCATATTATTAGTTACTAGTATTTGATTATGTGCATTTGCAAATATATAAATAAAGTTTAAGTGATTTGTATGCATATGTATTAAAATTCTAAGTTATATAATTATATTAAATTTCAAACACAAAGTATTACATATATATATTTATGTATAAAATTTTAAAATTATAGATTAGATAATGGCATTATGTTTTAAAATTTGATCATTGGTTAAAATAAATAGCAGATAATAATTTCATTGCAAATAAATCACTATATTGATTGTATAAAATATAATAAATAACGTTTTTTGTAGTTTTGAGGGAGCATGAACCATTAATTAGCTAAAAAATATTAAACTTATTAAAAAAAAATTATGTGGTTTTAAGAAATTTTACTATGACATTAGGATAAATTAATTTATTTGAATAACAATTGCTTAATCAAATAAAAAATATAATATTGATTTTTTTTTTTTTTTTTTGGTATAGTGAAGGAGACTCAAAGGAGTCTATAAGGGAACTAATCTAGAATGCGCAACACCCAATCTATCGTGCTCTAACCAAACGGTCGCCCCCGGTGGTGGTTTATCCAGTCTTGTAAGACCCGTTGGTCCCTTGGCCGCCAGAGAAGCCAGGAAGTCTGCTAAAAAATTTGCCTCGCGAAAACCATGTTGAATGTCCACGACCCATGCCCGGTCCAACAGTGCGCGAATGGCTCGGAGAATACCACCATGTGGTCCCGGTTGGTGTGCCCTGTGAACCATAGCGATAATAATCTTATTATCCACCTCAACTTGCACTTTTCTAGCACCCACATCCCATGCTAGCATCAAACCCTGGAACAGACCCCACAATTCCGCCCCAATAACGGAACAAAAGCCTATGTTCATGAGGAAACCGCTAACCCAATTACCGTGGTGATCTCGAATGACACCGCCGGCGCTAGCCATTCCCGACGAAGGATTGAAGGAGCCGTCAGTGTTAACCTTGACTACATTAACAACCGGGCAAATCCAAGAAATCCATCGGGCTTCGCGAACCCCCCGGATACCCACCAAACGACCCCCGTCCACCACACTCCGACCCATGTCGACCCAAGACCTTATGTCAGCCAGCCGTCGATCCACAGGCGCCAATTCTCCGCGAAAAATGTACATGTTCCGCCAACGCCACAACCGCCACAACGTTATACCAAAGACCGATACCCACTCCTCATTAATCCGGCTAAAGTCGCCCTTCAAGTTTGCAAGCAACCATGGCCGAAGTTCATGCGCAAAGAAGGCCGGCCAAAAAGACCGAGGGAGCAGGTTTTTCCATACAGCCACTGCGGCGGGGCAGTCCCGCACGACATGCAACGTTGATTCCGGTGCATCTCTACACAGTTCACATACTTGAGACTCCGTAAGATGTCGTCTATACCGAACTTCGTTCGTTAACAGCCCCTCCCGCGCGACTAACCACATAAAGTGCCGCACCCGTTGGGGTCCCACCCACTTCCAAATAGCAGACCACAGGCAATTTCGGCTGCCCGCAGAGCTTGGTAGCAGCGCCTTGTAGGCGGTCTTCGTCGAAAACTGGCCGTCCGGCGAGAGCCCCCAGTAAAACTCATCGGCCCCGAGTGTAGCGAGCGGTGGAGGCACTACCGCAATCCGTAGGAGTACCGTGGCCGGGAGAAAATTCTGGAACATACTCCAATTCCACTCTTGATTGTGCGACACAAAGCAGCAACAGGTAAGTGGAGAATAGACTCCGGGATAGAGCTAGTAGCTACGGACACAAGTGTCATGTCCGAGTTCAACCAACCATCCCACCAAAAACGTGTATGAATCCCATCTCCCAAAGTCCATCGAACGCCCTGACGCATAGTGGGCCACACCTCACGAATCGCCCGAAGAAACGTCGACCCACGAAGAAATATATAACCATCATGCATCACCAAAGGGTCCAGGTTATATTTTGCCCGAATTAGATGACACCACAGCGCGTCCGGTTCAGTTAAAAAGCGCCATGCAAGTTTCATATTGAAAGAACGATTCATGAGGCGTTGGTGTTTCATCCCTAGGCCGCCCTCAATTTTGGGAGAACAAACCTCATGCCAAGAGACGGTATGCACCTTACGGGTCGTCGAAAATCCACCCCAAATAAAAGCGCGACACATTTGTTCCAGCTTATCACAAACCCCAAGCGGTAGAGAGGTTGATTGCATAGCGTAGTAAGGGAGGGAACTCAGGGCCGACTGTGCCAACGTAACCCGCCCGGCCATTGATAGGGAGGAGGCCTTCCAGCCCGCCAATTTCTTTTCCGCCCGATCCAACAAACACGCATAAGTAGCCTTCGTTACCCGACTATGAATCAAGGGCATACCAAGATAAATTCCCAAGTCGTCAACGACTTGAAAACCTAAGCAGCGGGATAGTGCCAAGCGGTCGGCCTCAGGTACATTATTCGAAAAAAAGATCCTGGTCTTCAACTCGCTAACCTTCAAGCCCGAGCAGCACCAAACTTTCGTAACAGCGCCTGCAGATAAGAGGCCTGGTCTAATGATGCCTCCAAACACAGCAGTAAATCATCCGCAAACATGAGATAGGGCACGGAAACCCCACCACGACCAACCGAAAACGGCCTCCAGTCCCCACTAATCACCCCGCTATCAATCATATGGGCAAGGCGCTGTAGGCAGAGAACAAATAGGTACGGCGAGATAGGGTCACCCTGGCGTATCCCTCTCGATGGGGAAAAAGTCGGGGTGGCCACCCCATTCCACAAGAGTTGCATGGAGGCCGAAGTAACACACTGCATAATGGTGTCTACATAAACTCTAGGGAACCCAGCTAGCAGCAACGACTCATGAATAAACTCCCAACGGAGAAAATCGTACGCCTTTTCCAAGTCTACCTTTATCAACATGAAACCCCGCCGACCCTTTAACCCTCTTAAAAAATGTACCACTTCCTGTGCAACAATTATGTTGTCCGTGATATGTCGCCCCGGCACAAAACTCGACTGGGCCGGACTAAAGATAGTAGGGAGAATGGGCTTCAGACGCTCCGCGAGGACCTTTGTTAAGATTTTGTAGATCACATTGAGAAGGCTAATGGGACGAAATTGCTTCAAAGTCACAGGGTTATCCACCTTTGGTATCAGAACAAGTAGTGTTTGATTTATAGATGTAGGGAGACGGCGGCCTCTCCAAATCTCGCAGATAAACGTGCATACCGACTGGCCCACATGCCGCCATTTTTGTTGGAAGAATAAAGCATGTAAACCATCCACCCCGGGTGCCTTGAGCGGGGCCATTGCTTTCAAAGCAGAAACAATCTCTTCTTCTGATATCTCCTCGCCTAAAGGACGTAGTAATGTATCATCCACCGCCGTGAACACATCATTGAGGCGAGGTGGGTTTGGTGGAGAGGCAGGAGCGGTATAAACCTTTTGAAAAAAATCCATGGCCATTTGCTGCATAGTCTCAGGGTCCTGGATCGGTTCCCCCGTCTCATTACGTAATGCGATTATTTTATTTCGACGACGGCGATGTTTGAGGAGTCGATGAAAATACTTTGTGTTGCGATCCCCAAAAAGAGTCCAGTCCCGCTGGGTTTTCTGAACCAGCAGCAGTTCTTCCTTTAAAAGAGTATTATCCAGCTCGGCCTGCAGCTTGCCCTCAAGATTGCGAAGAAAAGGATTCCTTAAAAAATCCGGTGCTCGCTGTATTCCGCCAATTCGAGCAAGCAAATGACTTTTCTGCCGGAATATGTTGCCAAAGACATGATTATTCCATACTTGAGCCCGGGATGAAAACTCAGAGACCGAACTCTCATACGATCCCCCCGGGGTCCATGCACGTGCTACTAGATCGTCAAAGCCATCATGCATAAGCCAAGCGGCAAGGAATCGGAAAGGTTTGGGTCCCCGTATTCGACCCGGCCGTGCAGCTCGGAGTAATAGAGGTGTGTGATCCGAGTGTACACGTGGAAGATGCGAAACCATGCTATCCGGGAAAAGAGATAGCCAAGCATCATTACCAATCCACCGATCCAACTTCTCCGCGAGATCATTGCGGAACCATGTGGCACGGTCACCGTCCGTTCGTACTTCATGGAGGTTATGGTCAAAGAACCACTCTATGAAGGGTTGACTAACGTTATAGCGACGAGTCGATCCTCCATACTTTTCTGAAGACCGGAGTAAGCAATTAAAATCGCCTCCGACGATCCAAGGTTCCGAAATCCGTTGGGCTAACTCGTCCAATCGCGTCCATAAGGCGGTCCGTGTACTAGGCTGCGGGCTCGCGTACACAAACGTCACTAGAAAAGGATTCTCGCCTTTTATGCGGGCCAAAACATGTTGGCGGGCACACTCGAGAACCTCCAAATCCACGTCATCCGTCCAAAGCACCCATATCCCACCAGAAAAACCACGCGCCTCAACCCGGAAGGAGTTGGAAAAACCACATCTCTGAATAAAAGAATCTGCAGAAGGGCCCTGGATAATATTGATTTTAGAATAAATCATTTGAACACAAAGTTTTTACAATATAAATTTTTATGTTTATGTAACTTTCATATATCATTTTGTGTAAAATA